TTACTTGGACGGTCGTTTTTTCATGGAAAAAAGGGAATCTCCAAGTATAGTGAGTTGGGGATTGGACGATTCCTCTGAACATGGATGATGCTCAGGGTCTATTTCATTAGTTGATGACAGGGTGGCAGATGTCTATTTCATGAGATTTTAACATACCCTCTAGTAAACTAACATAGCTATGGAAACTCACCACTTTTAATAGGTAAATCAATTATAACCGGGCCATTTTCCATAGCTATGTTAAATTACCAGAGGGTAAGGATCGATGAAGCACAAAGCTGAATATTGCTGTTTGGACGTGCATCCCAGGAAAACAAATCTGTTCATTCTTGGAACGGTCACCAGCGGGTACCAAGGGTTGTTTTGAACCAGACCAGATCTATGTTGGATTTAGGACCAACCATCTTGAACAGTGACCAAAGTCCATCATATCACCATTATATATCCCATCAGTATCCCATGAAATCAGAATATCACCATATCAATATCCATTTATATCCCATATCACCATTATATCCCATCAATACGGGATATCCCATCAGTATATCCCATATTGTTCTATTATCACAGAATCTCGGTCAGGTCTGCGCCGACCGCACCTTCTACGCCCACCGAATAGTGTTGGCAGCGGAGAGTGAGGTAACTGATGCCAGAGTGCGGGTTGATGGCTGTGCGGATTACAGAGGGTTAGATTATCCAATATTGTTTGGGAAATAAAAGGGATACAGCAATGGGGTGTTATGTAATCTGCACATTTTTTTCAACCTGCAATGTCGTTGCAATTCATGGTTGGTCTCGGGAGCCATCTCCAAACAACCTTATTTATGATGAATTCGCATGATTTATCCCGGATGGTTTTTCAGTTGCTCTGGGCTTTGGGGGATGGATCAACATCAAGGTTTGCCCAATATCACTCACATCAGATATCCAGCTTTGTTGCTAGAAACCCTGGTTTTTCTGGTTGCCATGAGTCATACCGAATGAATCAGCATGCGCTTATTGGCTTTATCTATCTGTCTATCTATCTATCTATCTATCTTTCTTTCTATCTATCTTTCTATCTATCTCTATCTATCTATCTCTATCTATCTATCTCTCTCTATCTATCTATCTATCTATCTATCTCTCTCTCTCTCTGTCTCTCTCTCTCTCTCTTTCATCTGTCTATTTGTCTAGCTGTCTACCTGTCTATCTATCTATCTATCTACCTACCTACCTATCTATCTATCTATCTATCTATCTATCTCTCTCTCTCTCTCTGTCTCTGTCTCTCTCTCTCTCTCTTTCATCTGTCTATCTGTCTAGCTGTCTATCTATCTATCTATCTATCCATCCATGTTTATCCCCTTTGGTGGTTCAATCCTTCTTTATGACTGGTATTTGTTGGTATCCTTGGGCTTCAACACGGGTGAGAACACTTCCAGGTCTTCAAAAGCGGCCTGGCCACCGTGGCAAAGGAGGCCGTCGACGGACGGTGCCTGGGCGAGATTCGAAACGCCCAGGACGTCAACCGTCACAACCCCATGGATGGGGATTTGAGCAAAAACAATGGGGTTATACTGGGGAAACAAAGGGATATAATGAACATGGATCAAGACCCGTTATGAAAATGGTATGTGATTAGATTTAAATCCACAGTGGGGTACCTAATGATTATTGTGTTTTGCATCTACACCATCTTTGGGGTCTTGATAGGTAGATGGTCTAGTGGGGATATGGGTTAATATGGGTTTTAGTGGGCCGATAGCTGTTATTAATTAGGATGTTCACCAACTCAAAGTTGGTGCAATGGGAATATGGGGTTTATCATGGAAAATATCTGTGTATGTATGTATGTATGTATGCACGTATGTATGTAAGTAAGTATGTATGTATGTATGTATGCACGTATGTATGTAAGTATGTATGTATGTATGTATGTATGTATGTATGTATGTATGTATGTATGTGTATGTGTATGTGTATGTATATGTATATGTATATGTATATGTGTGTGTATGTATGTATGTATGTATGTATGTATGTATGTATGTATGTATGTATGTATGTATGTATGTATGTATGTATGTATGTGTTGTATGGTATGGTATGGTATGGTATGGTATGGTATGGATGGATGGATGGATGGATGTATGTATGTATGTATGTATGTAATTTATTTATTCATTTATTTATTTATAGCCAACAAGATGCTAGTGGAACTTAAAAATCAACTATGGTTGCTTAAGGGACCTTAATGGCCGGCTTCATGATGTCTATACCATCTTTGGAGGGGATAAACTCCTTTACACACCATAGACACCAGCTAATGATATCATAGAAAGACCGTGGAGCGGGGTGAGGGCCTCTGTCGCATGGTTCGACATAAGGCAAGAGATCAGATTGGCCGAGATCTCAAATCCAGAGGTTGGGATGACACTGCTGTGAGTTCAGATGCCCTTTAAGGTTTGTGGTAAAATGAGGCTTTTGCACGTGTTCACTCTTTGAATTCCACAGCAATTTTACAAGCTGCAAGTATTTTACACAAGAAGTTGACCAATGTTGAAACAACACGGATTTCGTCAGGCAGTGAAGTTTATGCTGGACTACATGTATCAGACCGATGCCTCTGTGTCGCCGACGCCCAGGGGGCTCGGCACCATGATGTCAACCGGGGATTTGTAAACCCTCAGTTATTAATATAGGGGGACACCATTCGTACTGGAAGTTATCATGTATATGATGTTGTTTTTGATCCGGGGTTGGCATGGTTCATAGCAGTTTTCCAGCACCTGGTGTTCTACAACAAGTCATATGCTTCCAACAAATGGTTATCTAACAAGTTTGATATTCCCAGCACATCTGGGGTCACCAGCTTCCGAACCCAAACTGAGGTGGAAAGACTACAATCCTCGGACACAGGACCGAGTAAGTTGTCAGTTTGATGAGGTCAGTACCCCTGAAAAAAAAAAGTGAGGTGATTGTAAGCCTATTAGAAGCTGTAACTGGTAGTTAGTGCCCATAAATCATAAGAATGCCACTATCTACCACTTCAAGTGAAACAATCAAACTACAGAAGTGCACAACAGCAGGAGCAGGATCCGGAAGGGTAGCATAGCACGGTGGTGCCAGGAGATCAACAAGGATGTGCTTCGGCTAGCGCAAGCCTTTCGCTTGCTGGCCCTCAGATGGCTTTGTCAAAAGCGTGGTATAGCGTACCGGTGTATCGATTTTTTTGGTCAGCAACATGGGGAACATGATGATGTACGATGATACTGATGTACGATGATACACTACTGAACTAGGGGTACTCGATTTTCAGACAAACCTAGATGCTTCGTACTGAAGGGTCTGTGCCTGCAAGTCATATTCAAGATGTCTTTCAAGGTTCTATCTTGGTTAATGTTCAGCATGTCACTTGGTGCCGAGCATTTCTTCAGGCTGGTGATGTACCAAATACATCCCAAAAAGTTCTTGTTGATGAGAATGCCATGGGCTTGCATCCCAATCATCCCCATCATCCCACTTTAATTAGCCATCAATAAGCCATCAATGTCCCATCAACTGTCAATTGATTGCAGTGCTCTGGATAACTATATATCCATAATTATCCACAAATCATCACTTGATAGATCATGGATTATCCATAGATTATTCATACTTAATTATCCATTATTATCCATAGATCACCCCGTTTTTCCCATCCATTAATCCACTGACCCAAGGCCCGGCCTCACGGAACGCGCCATGCACTGGCAAGGGCGCCCAGGGCGCCCAAGGGCCGGTGCACCTCGGGATGATGAGTTGATGTTCAACAGAAGTTCAACATGGTTTTTCTGGGGTGATGCACTGGCAGAACCTCAACTGGTATACTGGTACCGGCTGAGGCTTGCGAAGGATTTGAGCACCGGGAATGTGGTCGAGGCCGCAAACGCTTCTGAACGTTTACCTGAGGGCCAGTCATCTCATTGGTCATTACAATGTTTCTGATATGTGTCTTAAATGACCATCCTGGGGCTTCGATACCTGCAAACATGTTTCCGAGCACCAGTCCTTTAAACGCAGCAAAGCATCAAAGCTTTTTCAAAGTTTCAAGGTCATTCAAGCGTTACCATCTGCAGGTGCTGACCATTTGCGAAGATTTTGGGCTGAACCAGCTGGGAGATCGAATTTTGGAGCAGTCTCTTGGCAGCTGGATATGATGCCTTCCCAATGTTTGGGATGTGATCTCAAGTGATGTTCAACATTTTTGTCGCTGATACAGTTCGCATGTTCAGATTATCATTCTGATTTCTTCTGGTTTGCAGCCAGTGCTCCATCAGACGTGCTCAGGCTTACGACGAGCAACCGGCATGGTTGATGGGTTTGCTGTGTTTGTAAGAACTTGCTTCTGTGTGTCCTTGCGCCAGTCACTAAGAAAACCATCAATCGGTTGTTTTGGTGAAAAGTTGTTGAAAACCATGATTTTTTGTACCATCGGATGTGTGTAAAGGTATCTCATTCCCCACCTTGGAGACCCAAAAAAAATCTAGAAGACCCAGTCATGTTTAGATGTTTCCAGCCAGGAACAAGAAAGCTTTGGCTGAGGTGGCCAACAGTTCGCACCCTGAGTGGTTTGATTCATGGGACGACCTGGTGACCAGTGGCCACTGCTGATCCCATTGGAACGATCTCAGGTCCACAGATCATGAAGTATCCGAAGCTCATGCAGGCAATGACGTTTCGGGCTTCCAGGGCACAGATCGGAAATGTGTTTGGTATATCCGATATATCCCCAAACCACTTTAAAAAAAAGAAACAGAAACATGGGGTAAACATATGTTTGTAGATAAAAGCCTTTTTGAGATTGATAAAAAATGGACTGTTTCATGAATATTTCCAGATGGTTTTGAGATTGTTGAGATACAGTAACATTTACAGAATACCATGGATTCAACCATTTAGACTCAAAATTTAGACCCATGGTTTATCTATCAGATCTAAATGGATGGTTTTTTCTATCATGGATGGTTAACTATCATAACATGGATGGTTAACCATCAGTTATCCATTATCATATAATTCATATAAACCAGTTATCCATCATATCAGTTAACCATCAGTTATCCATCATATATTATCCATTATAATTATCAGTTATCCATGGATAGTTATCCATATAAATTCATCTAATGGATAACTGCCAGGCGCTGCTGCAGCAAGCAGCGGCCGTTCCAGAGGAACCTCAGCCGAAGAAGAGGACGGCGGCCTTAAAAGTCTTTGGAACATGGGAAAATTATGGGGGATTCATGGGAGGTTGAGTGTTTTTTGGTGGTTTCATATGTTCCATGAGATTGTAATGGGGTATGATTTGTTGACCAACTGTATGGTTTAAAATTTGGAATTTTAGCGGCGACAATGGGTAGTTATTGCAACATACGAGAATAGGGATACAATGGGAATTCATGTGACAGATACCCAACAACATGATATACCGAATTGTGTCCAAGAGATTGGATATACCCCGAGTCATTACAATTTAATGGGGATATGAACTTACAAGAAGATACGATGAACTTCCTACAGACATTTGGGGATATGAACTTACAAAATTGCGGGGCAAGGTCATACAATGTTCTAGTTTGATTCTGATGAGCGTTGCAATATACATATGGTTGCCCAGGAAGAAGGGAAAGGTTATTCACAATGTATAGCCGGGTAAACGGGTAAACCGCCCTTGGGTCAAAGACCTGCACAATGCATTCATCCCCGTATAACTAATAGGGACAGGCAGATACAGGATTAAGAACGAAAACAAATACGTACAGCGAAGGGAAGTACATGCGTGACCTAGATGGTTTGCTTCGTATGTAGATATGGCTATGTCGTTGCCTCATGTCACTGGTCACTATTGCATTCGTACCATACCACATGTTAACTATCATACATATTCCCCAGCATGAACATATGCTGAAGTCGCACAGCGCGTCATACCGCTTGAGCATGGAGCATTGAAGCAGACGTGGTATATTTGCATGGCAGAATGTCAATGTCATCGATGTCTCATAGTATCTTATAGTGATATGAACATAATGTTCGTTCAACTTTTCTTATGATGTATGATTATGCCTATGTTATTGTCATGATCTGATGATGAGTACCCCCCATTTGCAGCTGCGTAAATCCCCCTTCTTTCAACATCGTCAGGGCAAAGCGCTGAAGACGCCAACCCTCGCCTTTTTGCCTCTGCTGGGAGCTTCAGCCGTTGGAGAATGATGCATCATGGGATGGTAAATGAGGGATACCCCAATTCAGGATACTCGCAGTAATTCTTATGGCCATCCAATAGTAGAATGATGAGAAACCGGGATTTTGGGGGTGCCCTATCAGGCAAAACCACGTGGCTGATGACCCAGATGTCTTTGGGTATATCCCATGTATACCTGGATTGCCATATGCCTACTGCCCGCTTAGTGGAATGCACATCCAACTGGGAAGGATCAAGAAAAAGTTGGCTGTTTCCAAGAGGCTTAAGTGAATATATGTGAATATTTACCGGAAGCCCGATATGTTGCTCGTAAAACTACTGGTTCTGTAGATCCTCCGTTTCACACCAGTGATATGGATGTTCACCAGCCTTTTGGCGACACTAGAATAAAGGCACCATCTCACCCCTGGGAATCATTGGGATCCCCGCTGTGCCATGGGGAAACATCTCATAAAGTTCGACTCGTGTTGCTTCGTATCTTGGCGAAGTTTAGCTCCAAATATTGTGCCCATGACATGGCCAAAAGGCACCTGAACCTCCCAAAATTGTTGCTTGGTGGAGCAATGTAGGCAAGGTCAAGATTTCAATTCAAAGGGGTCCTGGACTAGAATGTTTACTGCGCGTGAAAAAGGTCCCCAAAATGAAGCCTAAACTACGGCGCCGCCACCTTGACCCAGGTGTAACGTTGGTGAACTCAGAAACTCGCCGCGACTAAGGCCCCGGGCAGACATCAGTGGCTGCTTTGGACCAAGGCGGCCCTTTGGGGAGATGTCGTGCTGAGGCCGATCCGGCGTGGCGTCCAAACGATCCTTTTGAAAACCCATCGGTTGTTATTTCTAGATGTAGTTAGGCCGAAAATGATAACCCCAAATCTTTTTTTTAACCCACTTGGGGCTAGGTTTAGGTTATTTGAAGTTATTTTTTAAAATTTGCCATTTCATCTCAACCAAACCTGGTGTTGCTACAAACCACAAATGGTGAGATGAGCAACAAACGAAAGGCAGAATTTATACGGATGCCCAAAGGTTTACTCATTTTGGGGGCCCTAAACGGTTCAAACGCTAAGCATCAACAAAGTCAGGATGGTCAGCAACATCAAATGGGGAAATCGCCGAATATGGTCCCCAGGTTGAATTTGACCCATCTCGGCTAGGTGGCACATCACTTCACATTGTGGTTAACCCCCAGGATATGGATGAGAGAAATTTGGCAAAACCTATGTGTTTAGCCTTAGTTAACTTACTTTCACTATGATTTGTCTCACCTTTTGCCCGCCACAAAGGATCAACTTTGTACATGTAGACAGTTGAGCTCCAGCGGCTCACCTCCACCCAGCGAGCAATTGCGAGGGGTGCCACAGATGCTTGCAGGGCTAGAGGAAAAAGGAAATTGCCGGCCTCTTCCATGGTTGATCCAACTTGAGTGCTCTGGCAAAAAAAAAGGAATGGCAGTTTCCTAAAATGATGGGCACCCCCAAAACCATAGGTTTCAACAGTAAAATTGACTGATTTGGAGATGCAACCATTTTAGGAAACCCTTATTTGTAAAAATTATTGATGATGATTGGTGACGATTGCACAAAGAGGCGACGTTCAGTTCCAAAAGCGCAATGGCCTGATGATCAGAAATCGGTTTTGGCACTCTCGTCGCCTTTCTTGCTCCAGCCTACGACCACAAGTTCTGTAAGTCCGGTCCTGAAGCAGCGAACCAAAGCAAACATACGAAACACGAATCTGCAGCAAAGAAGAGTTGGACACGGCAACTGCTCATTTGTTTAATTGCATCTCACTTCTTCCCTAGTGGCGTGATGGAGGAGCATAGCAGGCTGGAATCATTGGAATCCGACACAAATGTGTTCAAACGTTGCAACGAAGAAGATTTGTTGATCAAATCATGTCCAATCAGATCATTCCCAAGACCTTAGTATGGTTCATGTGTTAGTGTTAGTTATCCATGACTATCCTGCACCACGAGGTCTTCACCGTCTGCTCCTTTGACGGCTCAGTATGAAGCACAAAGTTACAACTTTGAGGCCCAAAAAGCTGCTGCGGGTCTGTAGATCCAGACATGGAGGTGAACATGGCAAGAAGTCTCATCAGAGGAAAATATGTTTGGAAGATGATTTCAATGAGGTCACCTTTACATCTTTGATGCATACTCCTTCTGTTACTTATTATTTTATTGTGCAGGCGGATCGGGCAAGGCGCCTAGCTTTGCAGAAAGAACTGGAGGAGACTCCTTGGTTTGCGACTGCCTGACTGCCTGGACATAGGAAAACTCAAAAAACCAACGAAACATCCAGGGTTTGCACTTGTTTTTTGATTACCGAAGCTCTTGGTTTTCCCATGCCGGTTTTGCCACTGCCAGTCCACGAAGGAGCTTCAGAGAGAAAGTGAACATGGGAAACAGGTGCAGTGGTAGAAACTATGATGATCCGCCAGGAAATCTCGAAAATATGTCTCCATGGTTGCCATTAAAGCCCCGGTAGATGCCCATGGTTCCAATTTCAGTTCCAGAGCCCACCTCATGATTGTTGGCTAATTGTAGGTGACATGCCCCCGTTGTAACAACCTTACTCATTCTCATACCCATCACCATTGTCCAGTTGCATCACTTGTATTTTGATCATGCCCAAAATATCAACGTGATATCAACGTGATATCTCCAGCTCCATGATACATCCATGATACATTGACCCAGAGAATCATAGCAGGGCCATTCCGCTGGGGCCATTCTCCCGCCGCGGAACAACGCGACGTGCCAGGTCTTGGATAACCTGGCCGTGAAGATTCAAAGTTTGCGCGCAGAGGTGCCGACGGTGCCGACCTGGTCGCTGCACCAATGGGGGTTCCAAGGATTCCAAGGTTACCCCAGCGGGATGGTTAGTGAGAAACCCCCTTGAACTGATTTTCCAATGGCTGGTTTATAGTGGAAAATCCGACCATGAAATAGATGATTTATGATGATTTGGGGATGTTTCCCAATTTTTTCAGGAAACATCCATTGGGATGATGTTTAAAAGACACGACTGAATTGTTGTAATGCTATGTGTCAATATCATGGAAGATGGCGGTAATTAAAAAATAGCAGTGAAACCTGACTTAAAGACACTTGAGGTCATTACGGTCATTACGGTATATACCCTCTGGTAAACTAACATAACTATGGGAAATCACCATTTTCAATGGGAAAATCCACTATAAATGGCAATTTTCAATAGCAAACTGTTAAATTACCAGAGGGTATCAGTTTAGATATCAAAAATCATCAACCCAAATGACTTCAATCACCATTTTAGTCAGGGCTGCAATCATCGCATTTTGTCCCTATTTTAGCAGGCCCTGTTCCCACAAACAGCAGAAACAGCATCACAGCCCTTTCACAGTGGGTCAATACTGAAAGACATCACCGGTTTTTTCCGTAGCAGTCATCCATTTTTGGGTGGTCCAGGTTTGGCCCCATTCTCACCTGGCAATCGGCGATCAATCCCTGGGGCAAGCACTGCTCAAGTATCTATCCGGTGGGGCGCATCATTAAGTTCAGACTTATCAGCCTGACTTTTAAATATGACATCCCTTCATAGGAACTTCGGTCTTGGATGTTGCTTCATTCATGGTATTTCTACAAAATCAATCATCTGCGGCAGATATCAAATCATTTGCGGGTATATCCTGCACGTATTTCTATACCTGTTTGAAACAATCTTGGAACATCGATAGGTTGAGAGACAGAGGAAGCTGAAGCCAGAACGAGGCCGGGAAGCTGGGAAGCTGGAGATGCTTCAGCCCAAGGAGGAAAAAATTATGGATATATATATATATGTATACATGTATATGTATATATATATATGGCTACCTTAAAATAGCTGGCTTGTGGAAGTCTATTCCCCCAATTATGGGAAAATGATAGATGTTGACCCATCCCCATATTTCATACATGTACTGTCTAGTATATGTTAGTATAGTATAGTATTTACTGTTGGCAAAGCGATAATAAGCACCCATATGTTGTTGGTTTTTTCCCATTGGTATAAATTTGGGGATGTGGATCCTATTGCCTATTGCTCCACTAACATGATTTCACTATTGTTTAGATGCACATGCAGGGATATTGGCAACAGGAATGCCTCCACCCTATGACGTGAGGTGGGGCATGTGGGCCTATTTTCAAGAAATGTACTGTTTCCAAATCGAACTTTTTCAAACCAACATACCATGATCATCATTATCCTCATCATCATTCCCAATATATCCCCACCATACCCCGATAATGGTTACCCTCCGGTAAGCGTTTACATAACTATTGAAAATCACCATTTTTTATTGGTAATTCAACTATAAATATGGATATATGATGCTATACCCTCTGGTAATTTGTCACATAGCTATTGAAAATACCCCATTTATAGTTCATTATCAATAGCTATGTAACAAATTACCAGAGGGTGAATCATTAACTATTGCCATTTTATCATGTAAATGACTATTTTATCATTTTTATCAACTATTTTATCATGGGTAATTCAATGTCATCACCATTTTATCACCATTTTTTACGGGTAATTCAACTATAAATCACCATTTTCAATAGCTATAAATGGCAATTTACCAGAGGTTCGTTATCATGACAATCGCCTTGCGCTTGCGCAGGCTGCAGCTCCTGTCAGGCCGTGACGCTGCAGGTGGATGCGGCGGCGCAGAGTTTGCTGGGCGCAGCGCCGTGGCCTGGGGGAGGCGACCTGGATGTAGATCTATAGATACATGGGGATATAGATATTTACATACATGATCTGTGTAAATATATATATAATATTTAATATATATATAATATATATATATATATATATATTTATAATATATATAATATATATATATATAATATTTAATATGTATATATATATATGTATAGACATATGTCTATAATTCTAAAAGAATAAATATGAATATATGGGCAACCAGAATGACGATACTATGGGTTATTCACCGAGAAAAACGATTTAGCTCAAGCAGGACAGTTGGGATTCTGACGGATGGTGTTTGGGCAAAAGAGATGGGTCATCGCCGTGATTTTTTTCCATATCTTGGAGGTGCTAAGCACTTGGATTTATGTTTTTTTCGTTGTCACCGCCCAAAGGAGTATCGTTAAACATGGGGACGGACCGATACCTATACCAACAGAATGGGGGGATGACCCCCATTTTGGGGTTGGCTCAAAATTGTCTTCCTCCAATTCCTCCCGTTTCATTTTCCCACTGAGGCCGGACACGTGGCAAGGACATTGCTGCGAGATCCCAGTGCCTTGTTCGAGAGTCACCGCTGTTGCGTATCAGAATGATAGTCATGATGCAGACGATGACAATGACGGTGACGATGAAGATGACGTGACTATGACCATGGTGGTGATGATGATAAAGAGGATGACCATGATCATGATGATGACGATCATGACATTGATGATGAGGTTGATTATGCAGCAGTCATCATACTGAGTGATACTGACAATAAGTTTACATTGTTTTACATCGTTGCACGTATAATCAGAGAGGTTACTGCATGATGAGATCTGCACGGTGCGAAAGGTGCCAACCGATCAGAGCTTCTCAGTACAGTCCTGCAATACGTCGAACCTGTGAGCCCGGCAGAAATTGGTTGCTCAAACTGTGGATGTTGCAGACGCCAATTGGTTCAGCAATCACTGACACACTAGGTGGGGAGCCAAGCCAACAAAGAGTTGGGTTTAAATTGGTAAACAACTTGGTGAAGGGTGGGAAAGCAAAGGATCAACAGCCGTAATGGATGTACCCACGAGAACGGCGGAAATTAGCAAGAAAGGTTGCCGGACGGGGGGCATGAGCCACAAAATATATGTGTATGTATGTAATGTTATGTTCTGTAATGTTATGTAATGTTTTGTCATGTTCTGTAATGTTCTGTAATGTTGCGTAATGTTGTGTAATTTTGTGTAATGTTATGTAATGTTATGTAATGTTTTGTAATGTTACGTAATGTTCTGTAATGTTGTGTAATGTTGTGTAATGCTGTGTAATGTTGTGTACTGTAATGTAATGTAATGCAATGTAATGTAATGAAATGTAATGTAATGCATGTGTGTATGTATGTATGTATGTATGTAATGTAATGCAATGCAATGTAATGTAATGTCATGTCATGTGATGTGATGTGTATGTAATGTGTATGTAATGTGTATGTAATGTAATGTAAGGTAAGGTAAGGTAATGTAATGTATGTATGTATGTATGTGTGTGTGTATGTCTGTGTGTGTATGTCTGTGTCTGTATGTCTGTGTATGTATGTCTGTGTATGTATGTCTGTGTATGTATGTCTGTGTATGTATGTCTGTGTATGTATGTGTATGTATGTGTATGTATGTGTATGTATGTGTATGTATGTGTGTATGCATGTATGTATGTATGTATGTATGTATGTAATTTAATGTATGTATGTATGTAATGTATGTATGTAATGTAATGTATGTAATGTACGCATGTAATGTAATGTATGTAATGTAATGTATTGTAATGTAATGTAATGTATTGTAATGTAATGTAATGTATTGTAATGTAATGTAATGTAATGCAATGTATGTATGTATGTTTGTATGTAATGTATGTATGTAATGTATGTATGTATGTATGTATGTATGTGTGTGTATGTATGTATGTATGTATGTGTGTGTGTGTATGTCTGTGTGTGTATGTCTGTGTATGTATGTTTGTGTATGTATGTGTATGTATGTATGTATGTCTGTATGTATGTATGTATGTATGTATGTAATGTATGTAATGTATGTAATGTATGTAATGTATGTAATGTATGTAGTGTATGTATGTATGTAATGTATGTAATGCATGTGACGTATGTAATGTATGTACTGTATGTAATGTATGTAATGTATGCAAAATGTATGTAATGTATGTAATGTATGTAAAGTGTATGCAAAGTGTATATGAAGTGTATGTAGAGTGTATGTAAAGTGTATGTAAAGTGTGTGTGTGTGTCATGTCTATGTAATGTGTATGTAATGTGTGTGTGTAATGTGTATGTAATGTGTATGTAATGTGTATGTACTGTGTATGCAATGTGTATGTAATGTGTATGTAATGTAATGTAATGTAATGTGTATGTAATGTGTATGTAATGTGTATGTAATGTAATGTAATGTAATGTAACGTAATGTAATGTAATGTAGTGTGTGTGTAATGTGTATGTAATGTGTATGTAATGTGTATGTAATGTAATGTAATATAATGTAATGTAATGTAATGTGATTAATGTAATGTAATGTAATGTATGGAATGTATGTAAAGTGTATGTAAAGTGTATGTAAAGTGTATGTAAAGCGTATGTAAAGCGTATGTAATGTGTATGTAATGTGTGTGTAATGTGCATGTAATGTGTATGTAATGTGTATGTAATGTGTATGCAATGTGTATGTAATGTGTATGTAATGTAATGTAATGTGTATGTAATGTGTTTGTAATGTGCTTGTAATGTATGTGATGTATGTAATGTAATGTATGTAATGCAATGTAAATGTAAATGTAAATGTAAATGTAATGTGATGTATGTATGTATGTATGGTAGGTAGGTAGGTACGTAGGTATGTATGTATGTCTGTATGTATGTATCTATGTATGTATGTGTATGTATGTATGTGTATGTATGTGCATGTATGTGTATGTGTGTGTATGTGTGTGTATGTGTGTGTATGTGTGTGTATGTGTGTGTATGTTTGTGTATGTTTGTGTATGTATGTGTATGTATGTGTATGTATGTGTATGTATGTGTATGTATGTGTATGTGTATGTATGTGTATGTATGTGTATGTATGTGTATGTATGTGTATGTATGTGTATGTATGTGTATGTATGTGTATGTGTATGCATGCATGCATGCATGCATGCATGCATGCACGTATGTATGTATGTATGTATGTATGCGTGTATGCGTGTATGCGTGCATGCGTGCATGCGTGTATGTGTGTATGTGTGTATTTGTGTATGTGTGTGTATGTAATGTATAGTATGGTATGGTATGGTATGGTACGGCATGGCTGGTTTCGGTATGGTATGGTATGGTATGGTATGGTATAGATAGATAGATAGATAGATAGCCGCTACAATTGAGGAAACTTACTGGTATTTGGAAGGTGGACCCCTTTTTTGGATGGGTGAAGGAGTCATGTCCTACTTTAAAGATTTACTTTTCCCTGCAGGGTAAGATAGGCCATGGTTGTAGGCGATGCCGGTTGGACCTGTTTCACGAGTGCGCGGCAGGTAAAGCATTTGGATCCCGACCTGGACAATCTCTACAACCGAGCGCAGGTGCAGCATGGTTTTGGTGTTTTGGTTAACGAGGATTTGAAAGATGCGGAGATAATTCACTTGCAGTGTCGGAAACCCAACCCAACAAAATTAACAGCCAAATCTATCCAAATAACATGTATAGCAACGCGCTGATTCATGATGACCTCCAACAAGGTAGACCTGCAAGACCTGCTTTTTGGTGGTTTAAAACTTGGGGTTTACCAGTCTTGAGCGAGTTCACAAGCCAGGCAAGCCTGAACCAACCTCAACCAGGGCGATCAACCGCGCAGGTCCTAAAATTTCGCTGTTGAAATCACCAACCGGAGAACGTGCTTGATGATTTGAAGTGTTTTCTTGTACGGCTTGTTTGCCATGCCTATGGTTGCTTTTCGATTCCAACAAGTGGTCAGGCAGCTGGTTACCACACTGCACCATGAGGGCGGCGAATCTCTGCCTCGGTTTCAGTGAGTTACTGCAGGGCTGGGGGGGTCCGTAACTTGCAGGTTTCAAGCTCAACCTGAATGAATGGTTATTAGATGTTATTAGAGGCGGTTTTATGGGTGATGTTGCAGTGGGGCAGCCCCCTTGCTGTCACTTTGTTTGGCAGACGCGTTTCACGAAAGTCTCACTTAGTGGGTCAAGATCTTGTGCGACAAGTCAAGCTGCGTTTCGTGTACATATCAGGGATGCTGTGGCCACCCAGTAATTCATGATGTAGAACAGTACTCGTAAAACCACAACCCACAACACAGTTTAACCGGGATTTCGGATTGGTTTTAATGCCATTCATAGACATTTATAGCCGTCGGCATTGGTATGCCATTGATCCGCTCGTTGCTTCAGTGGCCCAGCAGCCCGGCTGTTTGGCCAGCAGACTCAACTCGACATCAGCTGGGAAGAAATGTTAGAAATCTTCCTCGTCATTCATGAGAAACGTTTTTTTCCAACGGATGTTCCGGCAACTTCTTGACTTTTGCCTTTCGAAAAAGGGAAATTGGCTTTTTAGGTGCTCAGGCAAAGCCATGGGCAAAAATATGTTTCATGGTTGTAAAGGGTAGACGTCTCTCACTCTTTGGGTTGGTTTTGCAATTTGGCACGGGCAAATCACCTTGAAGAGTTGGTTTTCTCCGGTTACCTTCTGCAAAATGCTTGGTCGTTCTCTCGGCTCACAGGGGCATGGCAATGCTTGGGGAGCGGTAGCCAGCCCGAGGGAGACATGATCTCTCCAATGGCTCGAGCCTCAACCCAAACATGGTATGATCCGATGGGCAGTTGATGACTGTAAATGGAGGCTTCCAATCAATTTGCGAAAAAGATTAACCAATGAATCAATAAAACAAAATCAACCAACCCAAAAAACATTCTGTTGATCACCCAATCAATCACTCATCCTCCAAGCCATAGGCCATCCACCCATTCATTGGGCCATTTGAGGTACATTATCGTACAGTACGGGCGCCGGAAGCTGCAATTCCAGTGCCGCACCTCTGGCATAAGTTGCGATGCAAGTGGCGATGGGACTGGCGAATGGTAGGGTCATTGTTTATGGCCTTTAGTTTTGGATGCCTTCTGAGCTTTAATTCGGGATTCGTTTCGTATTTGGGCGTTTTATCATAGACGAACCATTTGTCTACTTGGCTTCGGATGGGATATGGAGTCCTTAATGGAATAGTAAGAAGGATCATGTCAGGGGTTAAGCTTGGGGATGCGTTGCCCCAACATTGGGCCGAAACTGATCCGGATGCTTACCCACAGAAAGAGCGTGGACAAGAATGGGTAATGCGATCAGAATGTCACACTCATCATATTTTTTGGTTAGGAAACCAGCTCCGGGAATCTTACGTCACCATCACTACCGGGTCGGTACATTCGCCATCGAGATGGTTAGATAGTTTTATATATTTTTGTATATACTTATCATTTCTTGGAAAGGATGCAACCTGGACAAGAGTGGGGAGGTAGCAACAAATGGAGATCAAACAGATGAAACCCAATGCATGGGCCAACTTGCTAGACCCACCTCAAAGCCCAAGTGCCGGAGATAAAATGACCGACAGTTCTTTTCAAAGATGATTTTTCCCATCTCAACAAAGTGGATCATGATTCTCAACAATTGCAATAGCATTCATATTCTTCATGGGGGGGTGGCTTGCACATGGCATTTGCCGCCCATGTGGATATGGGCTTCTCTTCCTTGACGAGGCACCATGCGCAACTGGTCTATGGTGCAGAGCTGAGACAGGTCCTGCAATTGCGCCCGGTGCTGTTGGGGACTAGGCCTCAAGCTGGGAGGTGCAGTTGGGGTTAGGGTATAACCATGGAACCCCCCATCAGTTAGGATATGACATGATATTACCATAAAGAACCCCCGAAACAAGCGGTGATAAAACATGCTTAATGTTTGCTTGTTAACCGGAACTGCATTCTCGAGAACCTTAAGGTCAACCACCAGTGGCAATGCGCCCGGTGCCTGTGCAGGCAGGATGTTAATTACCGTTCAAGCCGGTAATAAGAAATCCCAACTTTTTTTGGGGAAAAAAACGCTTATCAATATTGCCCAACTTTTCCCAAACATTGATTATTCGGAAGGTAGATAAGCGGCATGAAGATTCCTCAACTCATGCAGGTGCGGTCTCCGACGCCCTTTTGGCAGGCCAGCTTGATTCAAGATGAAAGAATGCCCACAAGATCTTAGGATACTGTTTTGAGTTGAGAAAACCTCAATGAGGATCAATCAACGTGATACCTTGCGGAAAACTTGGAAAAGCAACAAATCCGTTACTTGACACAACTTGACAAGTGCGTTCATCACATTGACCTCAGAGAAGGTCATGGAGATCAGCTGTTGCCAAGTTATGTTGTTTGCACCCAACTTGATGTCATATCTATGTATGCGTATGCGTTTATGTCTGTTGGGTTCGTGTTGGTCCAAGAATGGGTGGCTCCTTGGAGCATTGATTAAAAAACCTCAAGAAGTCCATGGTTTTGGGGCCCTGTTGGGGCAATGCTGGGCGATGTTGAGCCTATATTCGGCGATGTCGGGTCTATCTTGGGTCATTTGGAAATATGTGGAATACGTGTATTTGTAGGTGTTTATGCATCCTTTCAGCATGTTTTCCACATTTCCGCGTTGTATCATGTTGCACGGTATTTCGCTCAATACCCACGACTGATGCATACGCAACTTGCCACAGCAAGTACATACAAGACATGGTTTGATCAAAGTTGGTAAGAGCGCACAAGCACGCAAAAGCACATTACCTATTTGGCGGCATTGTAAACACGCTTGCCCTTATTAACGCTAAGATGTTTGCATGCGTCCATATACCCATGCAGGTAAGCAGGCTTGCATGCGTACTTACACTTGCACATAAGTAGGACATACGGACATGCAGATAGGTATGCGGAGAATCAGGAAGAGAGCCAACAAGATAAATATAACCATTCAGAGAGGGTGATTTGCTAATGTACATAGCAGTAGTACCGCACAAGGCGGTGTCGGAAGTTTCAAAATTTAAGGGCCAGATAACCCCACATGTTAAGCCTTCCGAGTGTTATGAGACGCAGGTGATGACTTGGGATGGTGGGAGCAGATGGTGATTGGATGGGGAAGAGGTAGGTGGATAGATAGATAGATAGGTAGATAGATGGATAGATAGACAGACAGCCTTTACGCAGGGAATCCTTTACACAGGGAGGCCTGTACGCAGAGCAGTTTTTACACAAGCACCTTTTACACAATGAACTATTTACACAGAGAAGCCTTTACACAGAGCAGCTTTCACGCACAAAAGCATTTACACAGAGAAGCCTCTACACAGAGAAACTTTTAGACAGACCAGCTTTTACACAGGAGCCTTTTACACACACAAGTTTTTACACAGAGAAGCCTTTACACAGAGCAGTTTTGACACAGAAGCTTTCCACAGGGAAGCCCTTACACAGAGCACCTTTCACACAAAGGAGCTTTACACACAGACGTTTTTACACAGAGCAGCTTTTACACACTGGCGCTTTTACACACACAAGCTTTGGGCAGAGAAGCCTTTACACACATGTGCTGTTACGCACAGACACTTCTACACACAGAAGCTATGTTACACAGACACTTTTACGCACAGAAGCTTTTACACGGAGAAGCCTTTACACACAGACACTTTTACACACAGACGCTTTTACGCACAGAAGCTTTTACACAGGGAAGCCTTTGCACAGAGCAGCTTTTACACACAGAAGTATTTACACAGAGAAGGCTTTACACACAGAAGCTTTACACAGAGCAGCTTTTACACAGAAGCCTTTTACACACAGACACTTTTACACAGAGCAGCTTTTACACACTGACGCTTTTACACAGAGCAGCTTTTACACACAGAGCAGCTTTTACACACAGAGCAGCTTTTACACACAGAGCAGCTTTTACACACACAGCAGCTTTTACGCAAAGACACTTTTACACACAGAAGTATTTACACAGAGAAGCCTTTACACATAGACGCTTTTACGCACAGCCGTATTTACACAGAGTTCCCCCTTTACACACATAAGCTTTTACACAGGGCAGTTTTTGCACAGAAGCCTTTTACACACAGACGCTTTTACACACAGAGCAGCGTTTACACGCTACAGAGAGTCACCAAGTGCCGCGCCTGCCACGCAAAGCAGCCGCGGCATCAACGGCGTCCAAAGGCGTCCGGAGACTACAGAGAGTCACCAAGTGCCGCGCCTGCCACGCAAAGCAGCCGCGGCGTCCACGGCGTCCAAAGGCGTCCGGAGACTACAGAGAGTTACCAAGTGCCGCGCTTGCCACGCAAAGCAGCCGCGGCGTCAACGGCGTCCAAAGCCGTCCAGGGACTACAGAGAGTCACCAAGCGCCGCGCTTGCAACGCAAAGCAGCCGGGACATCCTGTTGATAGAGACAAGTTGATAGAGACAAGCTGATACAGACAAGTTGATAGAGACAAGTTGATAGAGACAAGTTGATAGAGACAATTTGATAGAGACGGCCGGAGGCGGACGACGGAGGAGGCGGATATCGAACAAAAAGTTAGAACCCCACTGAGTGGTGTGGGGAGATAGGAAACCTGTAGGAGAGGTTGGATGTTGTGAATCACGGATGGCAGAGCGAATCCACTGATGGACCGAAAGGTGGTTGGAGTTGTGTTTTTTGCAGTGGCTGCAATGGTTGCGGTGGTCACCTCACCCAGAACTGCTGGATGTAGTTTGGTTTAGTGCAGTTGTGGTTGTAGTTGTAGTTGTTGTGGAGTTGTAGCTATAGTGTAGTGTAACGTAGTGTAGTGTACTGTCGTGTTGTGTACTGTAGTGTCGTATAATGTAGTGTAGTCTAGTGTAGTGTAGCGTGAAGTAGTGTAGTTGTAGTTGCCGTGTAGTGTCGTGTAGTTGTAGTGTAGTTGTGGTGTGGTGTAGCGTAGTGTAGTGTAGTGTAGTGTAATTAGTGCGGTGTAGCGTTGTGCAATGTAGTGCTGCTGTAGTTGTAGTTGTAGTTGTAGTTGTAGTTGTACTAGTAGTAGTAGTAGTAGTAGTACTAGTACTAGTACTAGTACTAGTAGTAGTAGTAGTAGTTGTTGTTGTTGTTGTTGTTGTAGTAGCAGCAGCAGCAGAGTAGCAGTAGTAGCAGTAGTAGCAGTAGTAGCAGTAGTAGCAGTAGTAGCAGCAGTAGCAGTAGTAGCAGGGGCAGGAGTAGGAGTCGTAGGAGTCGTAGGAGTCGTATAGGAGTCATATAGGAGTCGTAGGAGTCGTAGGAGTCGTAGGAGTCGTAGGAGTCGTAGGAGTCGTAGGAGTCGTAGGAGTCGTAGGAGTCGTAGGAGTCGTAGGAGTCGTAGGGGTCGTAGGGGTCGTAGGGGTCGTAGGGGTCGTTGTTGTTGTTGTTGTTGTTGTTGTTGCTGCTGCTGCTGCTGCTGTTGTGGTTGTGGTTGTGGTTGTGGTTGTGGTTGTTGTTGTTGTTGTTGTTGTTGTTGCTGTTGCTGTTGCTGTTGCTGTTGCTGTTGCTGCTGTTGCTGTTGCTGTTGCTGTTGCTGTTGCCGCTGCAGCAGCAGTTGTAGTTGTAGTTGTAGTTGTAGTTCTCGTTGTAGTCGTAGTTGGAATGTAGTGTACTGCAATTAGCGTAGTGTAGTGTAATGCAGTTGTAGTGGTAGCGGTAGTTGTAGTTGTAGTTGTCTATCTATCTATCTGTCTATCTGCAAGCTTGAAAACGAAGCTATTCTGCGAGACGTCCTCACTGTTTCAAGTTGACAACATCAAAAAGGAAGCAATTCTGACAGACTTCCTCAATTTTTGAACTTGACAACGTCAAAAACAAAGCTACTCTGCGAGACGTCCTCACTGTGTCAAGTTGACAACATCAAAAAGGAAGCAATTCTGCCAGACTTCCTCAATTTTTGAACTTGACAACGTCAAAAACGAATCTATTCTGCGAGACGTCCTCACTGTGTCAAGTTGACAACATCAAAAAGGAAGCAATTCTGCCAGACTTCCTCAATTTTTGAACTTGGCAACGTCAAAAACGAATCTATTCTGCGAGACGTCCTCACTGTTTTAAGTTGACAACATCAAAAACGAAGCAATTCTGCGAGACTCAAGAATGGAAAGTTGAATGCAGAGCTGACGGCCTCGTACCAATGTGTTTTGCGATTTTTCCACTCCATGTGTCTAAAGCACCGCGCCTGCCACTAAAAAGTGATGCCAAGTCATACAAAGCGCTGCACATGTCACGCAAAATCCTCTTCGCAAACCTGATGCTTTCATGCTCCAAAATGCCACCCTTCTTAGGAAATCAGCGCCCTGACCTCCTAACATCTCTGATGAACATGTCTCTTGCATTGCGCCTGCCACGCGAAATCCAGATCCTCTTCAAATGCCCCACGCCTGCCATCGTTTTTGGAAATGCCACAAAACCCTCACGTTTTGCTCACTCTTGGCAGGGCGCAGAACCCTTTGCACCTACCACACAAAATCACGCTTCAACGTCCAAAAGTGGCGCGAACATGCGGTGTTTTTGGCATTCTGACTTCGAAATGTGCTTCGCGCCACAACGGCGTGCACTTTTTCAACATCCCAACTTCCAAAAGTGGTCCGAGACCGTCAGTTTTAAACACTTTTGGCTTCGAAATGTGCTTCACGCAAAAACGGCGTGCACTTTTTCGACATCTACTTCGAAATGTGCTTCGCGCCACAACGGCGTGCAATTTTTCATCCCTCATCTGGCCAGATGGCTCTGCACCCGCCGCTTTAGCGAGCCTACTTTTCGACCCTCCGGGGCAGCAAATCATTAGAACAACGCAGTGAATCGCGACTTTTCTATCTTTTCGCGTGCCTGCAGCTTCTTTCCTCTGACTCTTTCTCTTCTCTGATCTTTTTTCTTCTCTTTTTTGACTCTTCCCACCTCTGCTTTTCCATCTGTCCATACTGTCGGAAGTTTGACTTCTAAACTTCCTTCGATGATGTAGACCCTCTAGATTATCCAGAACACGCAGCACTGCATGATATTGCATGCATCATCGTTTGCATGACGCCAGACACATCCACAGCGGGCCTTGGTTAAATGATGTGGATGCCAGACATTAGTTTTGCACTGCAGTGGTATTGTCTGCAGTCGGTGAAAGCCAGGTGAACCCTTTGCGAGGAGGAGACGTAAAAATAGACAAGGTTTCACCATCCTTTCTCCACTTCTTGATGGTTAAAGCAGTTGCATCTCAATGTTTGTTGGTGGCCCCGGTGCCCAGGATTTTTGGTGAAACCACCCACGGGTACTCCACAAAGTTCAGCAGGTCAGAGCAGATCCACGTCTCGGCACTCCAGCTGTGGTGCATCGGGAGGTGCATTTACCGACACGGGATTTGATCGTAGCTTTTGGTCATGTAACACTTTGCTACAGAAAGTTGTCCGTTTATAGATGACATAGATTATACCTACTGATATAGATGATATAGATTTGATATTGTGATGGTAAGTTGGGAATAGTTATATTCCTGGATTTACCAAGCACCAAAAAAATATTCTTCGTTGTATCCAGGATTCATGCGTAAAGGTGTTGGGACGGCAAGTAATTGAGGATAAATAAATGCTATGGGTATAGGGTTGGGCGGATGGATATACTAGGAGTTTACAGGGCTTTAAAACCAACCACTTTCAGGTGATTTAGATTGGGATGTCTAACCAACAATCTGTTCTTGGGTTTGCTGAAAATAGGGCATATCCTGAACTGTGGCACTGTCAGAAAACTATCAGGTTTGAGAAGTGCAACCTATGTCCCGGAGCCATCAAAACCATTAGCTTATTGCAATCACAAATGGCGGTTAGCATGAATTGGTAGTACAATCACACAATTTCCCCAGCTTCACATGATGTTCCTTTTAAATCCGATTAAAATATCGATGTAGCACTGTAGCATTAATCATTAATCAAGGAGCTTCACTTGCCCAGACTTGCCAGGTAACTCACTTTCCAAGCACACCAGCTGTGGGGCATCGCGAGGCTGAAACCTTCATTAAGTAATGGATCTGTTCATGTGGGTTATATCCGATCGGGAGTTCGCGTCAACAGGGGAGAAAAGATGCTTTATTTCAAGGTGCCCCCCCCCAAAAAAAAGCAACTTATGCTCTTGGGGAAGTCTCAAAGCATGTCAAAGCCGTGAAAACCAAGAAGAAACAAGACATGAATAGATAAAGCAAAAACACAGCAACCTGACTACTGGTTTCCGGATCAATTCCTTACTTGCTTTTCCCATGGTTATTTTTTTGTTGCTTTCAATCATTCTTTTGTGGTGGTGTGCTTTTTCCAGGGTCTCAATTTGATTTCGTGTTCGTTGTATTTTGTTTTCTTGCAGAAAAGAGTTTCGTTGGTTCAAGACCATTTCACAAGATTAATATCGATGACAAGTTCTCGCGTATATAAATGGGCATGTTGCTTCTGTCAGGGTTCGTAGCCATTTACAAACTGGGATGCACATCCAACAACCTCGAATCAGAAAGGGCGTCAGTGTTGAAACTGGTTTCTTATCCTTGCTCAAGGATGCAAGGAATAGCACCGCGCATGTTCCCACACGTTCTGCGCAGAACTCAGTTTGCGCGTCCCAAGCATTCGCATCCCGCAAGGTCACTCAGTTGCCATGTACCCCATCTGTCGGCCACCGTGAGGCAAGATGCAACCAGACCAGTTGCAATATGCTGGAAAATATTTTAGCTTACGATCGCTGATTGTATTGCCCATTGGATAGCACCCTCAAAGTTTAAAAACAACATTCCAACAGGTTTCAAGATGTCCAGCATTTGGATTGCCGGGAGCTGGTTGTTTCCAGGTGCGCGTAGGGATTCCACGTTCACCAGCCGTGGTGCACAGAGAGGCGGCTTGAGTCCCTGGGGGCTTGGTTTCCAAGCCTGGGTGTCAAACTTGGTCATCCGTTCCACTTTTTTGTCGTTGTTGATCTTTTTGTGGGGCGAGCTCTGGTAGATGCGGTGAAGCCGATGCAGGTCCGAGCCGAGGTGCCAGCCACTCCAAACACAATGACGCGAGAGGCCTGGGTTGATTTTTGCGAGGGTTGGCTCAAACTCCAAGTTTGGTGCTTGAGATCCAATAGTTACCTCTTGTTGGGGGGATGTTTCTTTTGCTTGGTTTCTTTTACCTTCCAGGGGTTGAAGTTGAACACCAAGCAGGTGTTGCATATGATCCACATGTTTTGCTTTCTCTTCAAGCAAGTCAAAAGTGTAAGATGAAGATTAACCGGATGATCCATGGGCGATCTAGTCCAAAATCTGCTACCCCCCCTTAAAGCTTGACCCAACGCCCAGCCTCAGCCCATTTCCAGGTCCGAACTTTCAAGGAGATGACAACGCCTTCCATCATGCATCGGGAAGTTGCCGCCTCGGGGGGTACAACGAGAAACCAACCAGCTGGTTGAATTCGGGCAATCTCGCAACAAGGTTATCTTAAATGGTGGGTTAGTATGGGTGGGTTCTCCCCAATGATGTGGGGATACAATAGGGGGGACGCATGGTGTGCAGGAAATGATGATAAACCATTGGAGCCTGGGGTATTCCTATGTTCAGGCAAACCCAGTGCCTGAATAAGCCCCAATACCCTTACCAAGGCCTTATTTGTTTTGAGCTTTGGGTACCATTCGGAGACCGCGTTTCTTCACCGTGCAGGTTCGCATTGTCACTCCTGTGGTTCAACACCGGCCTGTGCGGACCATGGTCACGCCTGCTTGGCGCCTAGATGAAGCCCATGGTTTGTAAACCGTTCCAGCAACCAACCATAGGGGATTATGTTTCCATCACCCCAGAGAGGAGTATACCCAACAATAAACCTCCTTTAGAGAAGGTTTATGGCATTAAGTTTGCCACATTGGTTCATCTCTGTTTCCACGGGTACGCCGTGAACACTTGGAGGTTACAACTCCTCAGCCAGTGTACCGAGAGGTTCGGCGTCCGTCAGCCCCGCACGTTGCGAGGAATCTCAGCGCCAGTCAGGGCACACGATGAGAACGGATCCATTGGCTCACACTCCTATGACCTTGTTAAAATGTCAAGTTTTTGGTGGCATACCACATTTGCAGACACGCCCTTATTTCTTTATCGGGAAGGCCGAAGCAGGGTATGAAGACAGGTGAACTAGGCCCAAACCAAGTCTCGACATGTTGAAATCAGCTTTTTCCAACCAGCTCTCCCTTCTGGAGAATCTGACCTGGCGACAAAATGGCAGCCCAGGTGACTTCGCCGTTGGTACAGCATCGCGTGGTTAGGCGAGATGAAAACAAAAAGCCGGGCTTTAGATGATTGGATTCCGATAAAACATGACCCTTGTTTTGATGGCAATCACTGCAACCCAACATGTTCCACAAGAAATATATCTTGTTCGCATTATAGGAAGAAAGAATCATAAATCGTGAGTATGTAGGATGGGTTTTGGTTGATCGACCACGTTCCTACGAATCGATGCATTGTTTCTTTCTGTGTGACAGATCGCTACCGCTATCTAACACCCTCCAACTTCACCGCGCTGCACGCGTGCAGGCCTAGTGGCTATCCGGCCGCGCAGCTGTCTTCATCGCGCGCCAGAAATTCACGCACTGACCAAAGCATTCCCCAATTTGAAAACAACACCCCATCAGACCCTTGTTTGGGCATTGGATCTGTTCTTTTCGGGACCAATTGTGTTTGTTGTGTTTTTACTGGAGGATGGGACTGCACTGAAAAAACATCATCAGACAACTTGGCAAGCTTGGCAGGTATCCGTCCTACACGCCCAACGTAGCAGGCCTGGGTCTTCCTGGCTTCCATCTGAGAGACGCCAGAGAAGCGCAAAAGATCCAACGCTATCGTTTTCCAGACAGTCTCATGGAATTCCTGACGGTCGCACAGAATTAGCAGCCTTTCCAGCAGGTGGGCCAACGCAACCTGTTCCGCATGCGGCGCGCTCCCAAATGCTGGCACTGAGCGATGATTGCTTGGATCTCCCTGGATCTCTTGCATTCCTGAGGCACGTGACCCGCAGAGGCAGGGCAACGTCTTGCCAGTTTCGGTGAGTCAAGCATGTTGCAGGCAAGAAGTAACGCGGGGAACCCAAAGCCACAAACCACCCAAAACGATCTACCAGAAATAGATGGGGCAGAGCATCCCCCCTTTTTGTAGGTTTACGTCATCGGGTTTTCCGCAGTAGGTATTGCGGCAAACCCGGTATGGAACTTTCTGCTGTTTGGGTTCGCGAGGGGTGGGGAGATGGATGGGAAACGTGAGCGCGTTCTGCCTGTAGGACCCCAATGGTTGCCGCACAGGCGGGAGCGGCAGGACTCAGGAAGCCTTAATGACAAGTTGCTTAGTCTGACAGGCTATGAAAGGTCAGAAACATCGAAACGAATGCAGATCCAGGACTTGAGGGGTTGTTGTTTTCGGGCCCTTATCCAAAGTTAGAATCGGAACCAGGCTGGTTTGAACATATGGCTTGCTTTCTGGTAACTTGGTTTGATTTACTGTCGTTCATTTCTGCTGCTTTCTGCTTGAAACATGTTGTAACCACGGCGGGTGACAGGCGCCCAGCGCTTCCGGGCCTGTGGTTTGGCTGCAGAACAGTAGGCGACGTGGGCTTCTTGTCATGAGTATGATACAAATCGCAAGGGTTGCGTTGCCAACACAAACTTGATTCAACTAGCCATCACAGGGATTCCAACAACCAAAGGGGATAGAGGAACGATGTTCGGGATTTAACGGTATCTTTTTCATGGGGGTTGATGGGATACCAGCAACCACATTCGTCTTTGTCTCAACGCATTGGGCTTTGGAATCGGGATGCAACTGAGAAAGGCACGGTCAAACCATGATCTAGTGCTTGAGTGGGCGTCATATAGGAAGCGATTGGCAGGGATGTGCTGCTTTGTCCAAAAACAATGGTCTATATTTGGGGCTGTGGCATATTGTACGCACCACCCCCTTAAAAAGATAGAAATAAATCTGTTTGTACCTTTTTTTTGCGTGGTGGTCGGGTTTTACATGTCTATTTTCCCACATCTTTGTGTGGGGTTCTTGTTTTTGGTTCTGTATCCCGTCCGCTCCTCCTCCGCCTCCGTCCGCCTCCGCCACTTTGTCACACACAACAACTTTCACATAACAACTTTGTCACACACAATCTTTCACACAACAACTTTGTCACACACAATCTTTGACACACAACTTTGTCACACACAATCTCTGACACACACAATCTTTCGCAAAACTTTGTCACACACACAATCTTCGACACACGCAATCTTTGACACACAACTTTGTAACACACAATCCTTGACACACACACACACACAACCTTTCACATACAAACGTTCACACACAACTTTGTCACGTTTTGCGTGGCAGGCGTGGCGCTTATGACACTGGGTTGGATCTGGTGGCGCGCTTGGGCGCCGCGGCGCTTTGCATGGCAGGCGTAGCACTTGGCGCCATCGACCTTGGTTTTGCTTGGCAGGCGCGCCCCTTTTGACACTGGGCTGGGTCTGGTGGCGTGCTTGTGCGCCGTTAGTCGCCTGTGGCGCGGCGGCACTTTGCGTGGCAGGCGTGGTACTTGGCGACATCGACCTTCATTTTGCATGGCAGGCGTGGCGCTCTTTCACAGACAACTCTTTCACGCACACACACACACAACTCTTTCGCATACAACTTTGACACACTGAACTCTTTCACACACCGCGCTTTCATACTAAGTTGTCAAGCACAAGTCTTTCACATACATGTTTTTGTAATTATCGATGTTCCACCGCCTCCTTTGTCTTTCCTCCCCTCCCCGTTGCGCTGCAACTTCTGTTTCTGATTGTTGAAGAAGTTGGCTTGTGGGGTTTTTCCTGCCCTTTAACTTTTGTGGGTTGCTACACTTTATTTTTGGGCTTTAGTTTTTGCTACACTTTTCAATCTCGCTTTTGCAGGCCTGCCAACACCTATGCTGCAGAAGGCGTTGGCTGCCGGGGGATGATGACACCAAATGCTGCCCCCTGCTGTTTTCCATACTGCTTCATCAACATGGCAGAAAATGATCCCTTGGTCTTTCCTTGGCAGCAGAAAAATCTTGTAAAGAAATCTGGCCAAGTCATGATCTACGATGATACTGAAACATGACGTCTTCAGTGCCAAGTCATGTGCCAAGGCGCCGTAAAAGAAATGAGCATAGGTAAGACACCTTGCTGTTCTCTATGACCTCTTACCTGCTTCACAGTTCTCAGGACAAGCTTTTGCTGAGAGCAGAATACGCAGCGCAGCTCTTTCCTGAGTGGGCAGTCATCATTTTGCGCGTTAAGTGAGGGGGGGCCTGTTTGCTTGTAGATTTTGGCTTCAGGCGGATTTCCTTCCACATACACCGCCGAACGCGTGGCGCCTAAGTGTCTCAGCAGGGCTGGATGTCCAAATTGCAGCCTCTGCAGGGATTGTCAAGCATGCCCCTAGTACGTTACATCACACATGCTGGACAGCTGCGGATATGCCCTGACATGCTGATGTGTTTTAGTAAGTCCCAAAAAGACAGATAAAACAATTCTTCCTTTCTGGATGAAGAATTGCGTGTCTATCTTTGTGGGGCTTGCTGCAAAAGCATTTGCCACCATTTTCAACCGAATCTCAACGGCTCCAAGAGGCTCTCTTGGATTGGCTGAAGTACTTGGTCTCAGGGCAGATGGAGCCTGTCTGCCTTGCATGTTTGCCAGGGCTCGTGAGCTTGAAAAGGATTGTTTAGACAAGGCGCGCAAACAAAAGCCATACCCTTTCGGTCATTCAACTTCAAACTAAGGGTCTTATGTTTACTGTTTGCTAAGCTTCACAGGGAGAGCCAACGCCCGATGGCGGAAAATACTGGGACAAGCGGCGTGCAGGGCAGCCTAAGCTTTCTTGAACTGCTGCAAGTTTTGCAGGGCTGCCAAAGTTTTTCTTTCCCCCTTGCTTTCCTGCCTTTATTTGTCTTGCATTCCAGCCTCCTTCTTTTCCTTCTGGTCATCTCCTTCCCTCGCTCGCTCGCTCGCTCTCTCTCTCTCTCTCTCTTCCACTCTTCCCTTCTCTTCGCCTTGTTAATATGCGCGCGTCCATCCATGCCCATCATGTTCATCATGCTATGGGCTCAGTTGCGCATCAGTCGTGTATTGAGATCTGGGCTCATCAGGGCCCTTGGGCGCATCGCTGAAAACATCGAGCGCCAGCTGCTGCAAACATCGGCGTGGTGAACGTCACCAAGGCTCACCAAGGGACCAGCAGCAACAGTGCTCAGACAACAAGGCATCATGGCTAACGGTTTTGAGAGCTGGAGACAACTTGTCAACAGGTTCCCCACCCCAGCCGGCACCAGATCCATCGGCTACTTGACCAAACTCTTGAACCCATCTTGCGACGACAACAAGCTTGAAGAATCATTTGCAACATGGGAGTTTGAGATCAACAGGTGAGAACGAGACAACAGCACCACCCTGCCAGGCAACGTCAAGACTGCAACGCTTCTCAGCGAAACACATGGAGCACTTTAGCGGCATCTACACCAGGGCAGCGGAGTCTTTCACAAAAATGCAACAACACAACAACCAATTCAACAAAGACGACGAAGGACCAGCACCATTGGACATCGGCGCAACAACTTGGAAAGGGAAAGGAAAATCAAAGGAAAGGCATCAACGAAAAGGTGGAGCAAAAGGAAATAAAGGGAAGGGCTTTGGCAACTACCACATCACAGGAAAAGGAAAATATCACAATCCCATCGACCAGGGCAATCCCTTCAAGGGATCAAAGCGCAAAGGAAAGCCATCAGGGAACATCAAAGGAAAAGGCAAAGGAAAGGAAACATGCTACAAATATAGCCAACAGGGTCACCAGAAACTTTTCCGCGTGCCAGCACGCAACAGAGGTCGCCATTCCCATCACACAGACCAACCTATGATTGGCACAACGGCCCACATCAGCGTGATGCAAATTGGCACAACCAGGACATCGCCCAATAAGGTTTCACAACCATCCCCATCAACTGGCATTACCAGCGCCGCCGCAAGCAGCCGTGGCAGGGACAGCACAAGCCATCAACGTCATGAACAACATCAAAATTGGGGTCGTGGAGTCTATCAGTGCCATTGGACAACCATCAACATCAACAGGCTGCTGATGATCCACAGTGGCGCAACAACGCATCTGTGCCCACCTTGGTCTGGCACATCTTTTCCACTACATTCCATGGCAGAATCATCGAGGCCACAGCTCAGAACAGCCACAAACACCAACATCCATGCCTATGGACACAGATGAACCTATCCGATAAGTCACCAGGCTGATGCACCTTGTGCTTGAGATCAACCTGAAGGACAACAGCACAATGACTCGCCCAAACACATCTGGGAGCAACATCACACAAAGAGATGTTTATTCTACACCCATCTCAAGCAAGCACCAATAAGAACTGGACAGCAGCTCAACATCATCTAGGATGTATCAGGACACGTAGCAATGATGGCCCACGCGACAATGACCAGCAACGGCCCACAACCAGGAAAGGAGGCGACACAGACATCTGGACAATAAACAACGAGGGACACACCGCTAGCATTCACAAGCGTCTCAGAGGAGCATTTTCAACCTCGAGCGTCGCATCCCCCCAGGTCAACGCAAGGACTCCAGGAAGACAATCATCAAACAAACAGGACAACAACCAAAACAGATCAACGGCAAGCTCAAGGATCTCAGCAGGCAACAGCAGAACAGGATCATCGATGGCCCAGCCTGGGTTGGTGAACCCTGGTTCAAGCTTAATCCACGAACATCTGCAGGTATCCCAGCAACAACCGACAAAGCCACTGTAGCCAAAGCAAGCCAACAAGAACATGCAAAAGCAGGCAAGAGAGCAGAGCATTGCAACAGCAGGCCTCAGCAGACACGACACCCCAACCAGCACCTGGACAACAGGCACATACAGGGCTTCCTTAGAGGCCTTTCTTTGAAGGTTTGGAACAAATTTCTTGTAGAGACCCCTATGGGGATCTGGGTGAAATCCTTAAAGAAGTCCTTGCATCATCTTTTGTTCCTTGTGAGGAGACCTGCGAAGACCTTGAAGATGACCTGAAAATTGCGGAATGCTCTCAGGAGGTTCTTGTATACAGATAAGATCTTATCACGAAAGCTAGCGTCAGCTAGCTGGAGTCTTCTTGCTTTAGCAAGTATTCCGGGGGCTGCTCAAGGACATCACGTGACTTTTCACGCGAAAGGCCCCCCCCCTGCCCCCTCCCACATATATATCATTGTTATATATCATATATCATATATCATTGTTGCATCCTCGTTGGGACGAACAATGCCGCGACACGATGATGACAGTCCCTCCGCAACTCACCTCTTCCCTTCCTTCTTTCTCCTACCCGGCTAGCTTTCGTCATCCACCCCCGGCCTCAAGTAAGATCCTCTCTAGCAGGCCCTTCTATGACGAGCTTGTGAGATTTCTTGGGGGTCTTGGCATGAAAGATCCTAATCAAGATCTTGTAGAGGTCCTTGTGAAAAGATCTTGCGGAGATCCTGGCGAACTTCTTCAAGAGGCACTTGCATACAGATCTTGAAGGTTACCTGGTTTTAGGGGTGCTTATATGAAAGCTCTTCTGGGATGCCATTGTGAGGTTCTTGTATCAAAATCTTGCCAGATCATCTGGAAAATCCTTCCCTGACGAATTCTCTAAGGGTCCTGGTATGAGGTCCTGCTTCGTAGACCTTCTTGTGGCCAGACGAGCTCTTGCTTCTGCAGCTCCAATAATGTTTCACGCGAATTGTTGTTGCTTCCTTAGCTACTGCTGCTTGCATGTCCTTTACTGATTTCCTACCCCCATACCCCTTGGAGTCTCTTGCCAGGGTAATTTCTTGGTTTCAACGTGGATTTCCCACCCGATTACAGCCCGCCTTGCCTCAGCCGTTCTTTTGCCGCTTAACTCACAGCAACAAGCTACATGTGAGGGACTTTGGCCCTTGAACTTTTGGTTCCAAACCTCATCCAGAGAAGAAGGTGCAAGCTGATCGTAGATCTTCAGCTTGCCAACGTCATGTTTCATCTGGTTCGACCCTGGTGCAAGTTTGCATTTGGCTTTGTATTAATTACACGCTCATGTTTTCACCAACCGCAATGCGACAACTTGCGCTCACGCAAGCGGTGACTGTTCTAAGGTTCAGACATCCTTGAGAAGGTTGCTTGAGTCTCTGCAGGCCCTGCAAAGACACGCAGTCACACAGGGCGGCTATTGTGGAGTTTTTTTTTGCCGAAAGCGCTTTTTCCAAAGAATTGCTGCCAAATTCAACGTTTAATTACATCACTTACATCATCTACATCCTCATCACCTACACCATCTGCATCAACTTCATCTACGTCACATACACCTCCTACGTCATCAACATCAACTTCACAACTTCAACTACATCACATACAGCATCCACATCACCGACATCAAGTTCATCTACATGACACACACATCATCTACGTCATTAAAAGAATCTATAACTGCTCAACGTCTACAACCCTCCTTCCAAACTCCTACAATGTCAATTACACAGGATTTTTTCGCCAGAAGTTCTTACACAGGAGTTGTGACACAGAAGTTGTTTTGCAGGAGTTGTCACACAGAAGTTGTTACAGGAGTTAACTTCCAGGTGATCCAGTTGCAGCTGAACACCTACAAAACTCCTATTTCTCAAGCTCTTCTGAACTTCTCTCTTTAGGCGGCAGGGGCAGCCTGGCGGCGGGTTGCGAAACGTGACCCTCTGCGTAGATCTCACGGATGCGTAAACGTGTGGTGAAATGCGAATTTTGTGGGCGTGACGGCGCCCTTTCACAAAGGCCGGTGTCAAACACTGGCGTGGAATTCCAATTGTGGAACTTCAGACGCAGCAATTTAGCACGAAATGAAGGCCGAACGTGAAAAACTGATGTAAAATTGCGATTTCCAACGTCAGACGTAACCCTTTCACGCGACATGATGGCCGGGTGCCAAAAGCTGAGGCTAAATTGCGCTTTTGCATCTCAGGTGCAACCCTCTCGCGCGAGACAAATTCAGGTCAAATTGCGAATTTGCAGCTTCACACAGCTACTCTAAGTAAAAGCTTCTGTTTGTAATAGCTTCTGTGCGTAAAAGCTCTTCTGTGTAAAGACTTCTCTGTGTAAAAGCCCCTGTGTGTAAGAGCTTCTGTGCACAAAAGCTTCTGTGTGTAAACGCGTCTGTGTGTAAAAGCTCCTCTGTGTAAAAGCTTCTGTGCTTTAAAGCTTCTGTGTGTAGTTAAAGGACCGGATAACCCGACGTGTCAACTT